TGCGCCGCGTCGGGCGCTGCTGCTGCTGCTGCTGCGCGCGGGTCGCCTTCGGTGCCGGCGGCAGCCCGGAAGCAGGCGAGAGGGGCGGCCAGGACCCTGGCCCAACATGGCTGAAGTCAGCATCGACCAGTCTAAGCTGCCGGGAGTCAAGGAAGGTAGGGGCCGGGTCGTGAACCGCGCGCAGGGCCCCTCCCCTCTCCCAGCCCGGGTTCCCTCCTGGCAGGCTCGTCGGCCCCTCGGCCCCCGCGGCCGGGTCGCGGCGCCCACCTGTGCTGGCCTGCCCTGGCCGCGAAAGAGATTGGGTTTAGGCTCTACCGTGGGACCTTAGGCAAGTCACTTGCGTTCTAGGCTTCATTTTTTTTTTTTTTTTTTCCCCTGTGTGAGATGAGGAGAGAGGATAGCACCACCCTCAGCAAGTGGTTGTGCAAATGTTCTAGTGAATAGCCAAGCCCTTAGTGAACGCTCAGGAGCTAGGTAAATTTGACTTATTTGTGTTCTTAAAGATTAAGGCCCAGCCTAGCTGGCTTGAAGGCTAGGAAATGGGGAGGGGTTGACATTCAGTTCCTTGTGGAGCCTTTGTTTTGAAACTTCCTTTCTATTTCCCCTAGCCCGGCGTCTGGCTGGCTGACTTTCCTACCTTCCCTGAGGTTTAGAAGTTTAGTCTTGGCACTGCCCAGCGTGGCGGCGGGTGGGGAAGCTGCTATGAGCATTTTCTTACAAAAAGCACTGAGCGAGGGGGAACGGGGCACTGACTGGTGACCTTGATTTTTTAATGGCTCCCTGTACTGAAGTCCAGGAAAATAAAGCTTGATTAGTACTGGTCTGGCTTGGCTACCAGCAAGTAGCCCTTTGATTTCCCTTCCCTTGTTTTCATTGGCTGTCCCAAGACCTAGCAGTTTTCATTGAGGTCTTGGGTGCTGGATCATCTTAACCTTTAGGTTGTCTTTGGCTCTTCTCTGGCCCTGGGAAGCATTGAAGGCCCAGAGTACTATCCTGGTTTGTAAAGGTTGTCTTTGTTGTGGCTGTCATAATAATTTAGGGAGGAGGCAGGAGAATTAAAATGTTAAATCAAATTACATTCAGAGGCTGCAGCATACTGATCAGCCTTACAGCCAGGCCTGGAGGACACCTGCAGAATAAAGGAAGATTTCTGTCGGGATTGCTAACAACCCATTTCCCACACCTGTGGAAGGGGAACTAGGAAAAACAGTCTTTAAGTGATTGGCTGCCGACCACAAAATAAAATCGTTCCTTACCTATGGCTAAAATCTATAGATTAAAGGCTGGGACCTGCCAGCTGTCCTTTCACACTACAAACTCTTTTCCTTCCTCACTGTATGTCCATATCAAAGGAAATAGGTAAACAAAGTCTTTTAACTCATAGGAACTAAAGAATGATATATAAACTGTATCCTCCGACAGATGGGGCTTTTTTCCCCCCCTTGTCTTGGGTTTTTGTCTTTGCTTTCTCTAGTCTTTGCCTTTCCTCCTCTTTAATAAACTTTCCTTTTGCCCCTAACTTTGGCATGTGTGTTGAATTCTTTCTACACTCTCCGCCAAAGGACCCTTCTCTCAGTGCAGGGCTTGCGGAAATTTGCCCTGTCCTGCATCAGTTTCTTTCAAGTGAGCATTGTGGGCTGAGGTTTCTTGGAATTGTGGAATCGAAAATAAGATTCTTTGCTTTCTTGAAACTGCGTGTTTCTTGGTCAACTTGTTTTGACCGAAATGGTCTTGTGGGTGCTCAGGTAAAACCTAAAATCCCAAGAAAGCTTGACTACTTTCTTTCCCAGACATCCAAATACTAGGAGACAAAGTTACTGGTTTTCTGTGGAATTTTTAATGGGGTTGGGCCTGGGACCGTCCTATTGTTCCTGAAGGATATTAGAGTTTAGGCCTGAAATCTTAACAGTAATGTTTTTCAGCCTTCTAGTTCCCAGCCAGGCTTTGGTGAAGAGTATGACATTCACATGTAAATGTGGTTTTCATAGCATTGTCAAGACTAGGGAGCCTGAGTGATAGTAAAGACACATCTACACTTTGAAAGTCGTAGTCTTTGAGTATCTCTGCTTGTCTTTAGTCTTTTGGGTATGAGAGAGAGAGAGACAGAGAGGGAGGGAAGGAAGGAGAGATGAAGAGGAGGGGAGGAGAGAGAGAGATAGAGAGAGAGAGGGAAGGAGGGAAGGAGAGAGGGAGAATGTGTGTATGATGTCTCTGCTGTAAGGACAGTCATCCTTGTGCAGTGTGTAGTGCTTCCTTGAGGGTGAGTGATGAGTAGAATTGGAGTTCAAACACAACCTTAACATGTAAAGTGTTAATCATATAGTGCTGTGATTTTGCCCAGTTCCCTCTACTGTTCAGTGACCTGGAACAAACTTGAAACTAATTTTATGTATATGCATTTATATTACTCTTAATCTTCCAGTTTCTAACCAAGACATGAATGATTTATTCTAGTATATTCATTTTCAAGGGGTTCAACAAACATTTTCTCTCTAAAAATGCAAGATTTTTCTGTTGCTGAACATTTGAATTGGCTTTCATTTCACCTAATATAGTGTTTGGCAACCCAGTTTATACAATATGGTAAAGTGGTAAAGAAATTTAACGTGACTCTTTCATTAAGTTAGGATTAAATATTGATTTTGACGGTGGTCAAATTGTTGACAAGATCATCGTCTTTGTAAGCATTGACTTTTCTGGTTTAAAGATCATCAAAGGAAATGATATATTAGCAGCATCCTAATCGTGGTGTAGTTTTTGATCTGAGAAATATTCAAGTCTAATAAAGTGTATCATTCTCTAATAAAACTCTTAATTATGGGCCAGTTACTCTTAACAATATCATTGGATGCTAATTAAAGAGAGTAAAGTTGGTGCTCATGATTGGGTAAAACATGCACAGTGAGACTATTCTTAAAACTGAAACTTTAACTCAATTTGAAAAGGAAGTTTAGTAATAATTTGCTTAATAGTCTGGCACATATTTTTAAACCCCATTTTAGAAAAGCTGTCTCTTCCACTTCTCTTTTTCCATCTAAACTTTTAGTAGGTTTATATATAATTACAATTTGGAGTCATGGGGTAGATTCCAATAAAGACTGAGAACAATAATGTGGTGAGGATCTGCCCCTTCCCACTGCATTTTCTTTAGGAGGGGGAAGGGTGCCCTGTGACCTTTGCTGTGAATATCTCAACAGGTCATGGATGGCAGCAGACGTCAGGGAAAGGGCATATTTGAAAATTTTCTTTTCTAGGTTAAAATCTAGTGCTCACTTACTTTTTAAGGCGGTCAAAGATATTCATCATTTGGACAGACCTTAAAAAAAACCAAATAGGGCAGTATTTTTATCTTGGGAATCTCTTAAAATAGGAGACAGAGGGGCACATTGGAGTTCAAATGTAGGTGAAAAGAATTAAGTCTAACTAAATGTCAAAACATTATTTCTGGTTTAAAAGCGTATTTGGAACATCTGCGTACTTTTTGTAATGGAAATACCATCGACAGTAGTTAGGAATAATGCTTTATTTCTTCTGAAGCATTTGAGGTTCTATGCAACAAGATTTGAAATAATTCCCAGCCATTTTTTAATCAATAGATGTATAACTCAAACGTATCATGCAATTTGTGAATGTTAGACAAAGGTATAGTTAGGTTACAATAATATTCTGAAAGTTCCTTAGTTTAGATCAGAGCTGGGAATATATTTTCTAAAAATGAGCACTTTTCATCATTTAACAAACTTAGATTTTTGGTCAATTCTAGCTTCCTTGTTGAATTTTCTTTCTGAAACAACAGTCCAGAATCCCTACTTTCCTTTTTGTTTTCTCTAATTAAATTCTCACATCATAAGTTAATTTGAATTGCTCACTTATCACTGTAATCTTGCTTTTTCTCCCATCTAACAATGGTTTCACATTATCTTAAACTTTTGATTTAAGAGCATTAAGTACATGAAAGCCATTTCTAGACCCTTTTAAACTTTAACTCCTTTGCAAGTTTTCCCACTTCTAGCCATGTAACCATCTTCCTTCCAGTGCCAGCAGCTTTTTTTCTTTCCTTAATGGCAGTAAGGAATTTTATTATGCATTTTGTATTCTTACTGTTCTTCAGATGGAAGAGTCCACCATCTCCTAAATTAACTGTGTTTGTGTGTGTGTGCATGTGCATGTGTGCACACACACACACATTCAGCATCTGAAATATACGCAGTCAGTACTGACATTTTTTGAAGTAAAGGTAGCTTATTCTGAGAGCAGATCCTTTTTCTTTAGTGAAAGATAAAAGTTAATACACTTTCGGAAGTATACCTAGAAAGCACTAATTCCTTTTAGGTCCAAGAAACCCCAGTGGCATGATAGGGTAAATTAAGTTTATGGCATAAATCCAGAACTTTAAGGGGAAAGATAGAAAAATATGTCTGGTGCTTTTAACCAATTAGTCCTAGAGATCTAAAGCATATCACATGCATCTAATGTGATGAGAGACTGTGAGATGTATATTATCTGGTACCAGGGCAAACTCCTTTTCTCTATTCTTCAGAATTCCACAGCCTTTTTTTTTTTGGTCTCTCTCTTTTTTTTTTTTTTTTTAATGAGACCATGGATAGATCTTCTTGAGTTGCAGGTTTATGTCTTTTTTTTTACCCTCATCTGGCTTCAGGTCTTTTACTTAGTCAGCAAATGTTCAGCAAATATTTGAATGTGCAAATGAATGAGTGAATAAATGAATGTATTAATAGATGCTCCCTGTTGGGTCAGGATTCCTATCTTTGGCATAATTATTTCATATTCCTTCTCAGAATATAAGCTCTTAAAAGGCAGAGATAATGTCTTTTAACCATGGGCATCACATATCATAATACCAGTATTAAATTTATAAAAACTTTTAATCTTTTTTCCTAATGTTCATTTTCTAATAAGTATGTATTATAAATAGAATTCATCGAACATAGATAAGTATAACATAGAAAGTAAAGTAATTCCAAGCTCTTCCTTCTGGCCTTGGAGGTAATCATTAAGGATAAAATGTTAGTAACACATTTAAAAAATGTTGTTTTGTGGTTTTGATTTTTATTTGAGTTAGAGGTTTGATTTTTTTTTCCCCTTAAGTGCAAAGCAACAACACACAATTGACAGCTGGAAAGAATCTTAGATA